CGTTACCAAGATCAATTTTAGACTTTGGGATTGGTTTTGCTTTTGAAGGACCAATCAATGACAAGATAACAGGCAAAAAAAATAAAGCATGTCCCATTCCAAACACAATAATAAGAAACATGACTCTGAAGAAGGACAAAAAAATATAAGAATTTGAAAAGGCAAGGCAAATTATTCCCAGAAACGAGGAAAACCCAGCATTCAAGATAGGCACACCCACACGCGACAAAGCAACAGCAACACGTTCATTTTTTGTAAATCCATCTGCTTTCATGAAAGCATGGCAAATGTGGGCACTATAATCAACACAGAAACCAACACTCATTATGACATGCATCATTGTAATGGAACTGAGAGACAGCCCCCAGAAATGCATGTAACCAAGTAAACCTGTCAGAATCATTGCTGTTGTTACAGTTATATAGACAGAACACAGCGGATGAGGAACAAATATCAAACATACAACAAACATGACTGCCATTGATATGCCAAGAGTCATTAATGTACTTGGCATGACTTGCACATATTGTTCGTAGTAAATGAAAGCGCCACAATATGCAAAGACTGGCAAGTGACTTTCATCTGCTATTTCTCGGACTTGGAGCATCATCTGTCCCTCCAAGTAAGTATCACTAAACCCAAGTGAGCGTACATAGAAGCGAGAAGCCAATATGTTACCATCAGATATATTCAAATCTCCTTGAAACCTTGGATTCAAAGGAAGAAATGAATTTTGCAAGGAATCAACAAATGTTGTTTGGTCAGTTGGAAGTGACCCACCATGATGTTGGGAAAAACTGTCTAGCCAAGAAACTCGATAGCTATTTCGTATGTACTCATTATCAGTCATAACATTCAAAAGAGCATCGATATCATTTTGGATATTAGTCTCCCAATATTCCAGTGGTTCTTCCATAACAGCCATAACCATTGGACCATCATTAGTGTAATGCTTTTCTGACAACCTCAGGTAGTCATGCAGATATGATGTGGGAGACACTAAATTATTAAGTAACAGCCCTTGGTGAAGCTGGGTTGCTCCCCATATCGCAACCCCTAAATAAGCTGCAAAAATGATTAATATTAATGTTTTAGCAACAGGATTAAGAATCATTTTTGGAAGATATTTTTTAGGGACTCTCTCGCATACAGTTTCTTTTTCATGATCTGGATCCTCTTCTTGTTTTCCTATACACATACATATGTATGCTTTCCCCCTGCCCTGTTTTTCCATTTCGTCTAATGTTGCAACAGGCTGGCAAGTGATTGCGTGACGTGAAGCTTTTACTCTGCGTGTGTGAAACACAAGTGCCCCTCCAAATACTGTCAGCTGCATCAAATAGCACCAGAAAATTGCAAAACCTTGAAACAAATTGAAAAGTAAGACAATTAATACAGTCCAGGTTCAGTATTATAATACCCCATAAGTTCTGTTACACATATATTCCTACTTCCAACATTCATAAAATAAACGTAGCAAGTCCATTGATTGAACTTAAGTATCCATTAATATAATTATAATATGAAAAATAAAACAATATGCAATATGGCACTTTGATTAACTGGTCACTAGGTTATTGTACGGTAATGCACGTTTTACCATGAGCAATTTTGCAACAGAGCTGAATATTTTCTGGATATTTACTGTAAATGATGATGGGATCGACTTGTATATCAGTTTAGTGCTGTATCGAAACAAACCTGTGAGTGAGTATCTGACATGAAAAATTGACCTTCACCTGTCATATCCTAAATCAACTATTTGCATTTGTTTGTAACATGCACCTGTTGGCTTTTTGTGATTTGCAATATGATGCCATTAAAATTTGTCTTAGATTGGAGAAGACTGGAGGTAGCATAATGGAATGACTGAATGAAAAGGTGTGGGGGCTGCGATAGGCTTTTTATAAACTAAATTCTTTAACATTCAGACCTGACCCCAAACCTTCCTACTGCAAGTGAAAATGGTGTATACATACCAGTGTAGATACAAAAATTCCTGACACTTGGGAATGGATTGATGGTACCCAAAGCGAATGCTATAATATCTGTCAGTGATGTAAGCGTTACTGATACTGCTGCAATACTGAATGTGTGTGACATCTTCTCAGCAACATCTTCAGAGGGTTTTGTTTCTAGCCAACCAGCGAGCAGAAGAAACATATCATCTATACCTATTGCTAAAAAAATAAAAAACAAATAATTAATAGTGCACAGTTATGACAAATATTGCATGAAGGATGCAATTGTTAAGGTATATTATCTAATGGATAAATGCATGTAATTGCAAAATATATTTAAACAACGTATATCTATGTACAAATACTAACCAACAATAAGGAATGGCATCACTCCAACAATGTTAACCATTTTAACACCCACAAATCCACAGAAACCAAATGATGCTAAAATTGCTAGTGCTGCTGCTATCACTCCAAAGTTTGACAGAAACGATCGTGTAGACACACAGTTTCCAGTGGAGCAAACTAGTGAAGCATAGGTGATCATGATGGTAAAGGTGATTGAAAACTCAAGAATGTCACCATCAGTGTTTTCATCTAGTTCAGTGTTCAAACTTTCTGATGTACTATAACTCGTCAATGCTTTTTCACCTTGCCATTTCTTCATGTTTGCAAGGAATTTGCGTTCCCATTTCAAGCTGATATCGTGGAATTTGCCGTCAGTTCGTAGATGATAGCGTGTTCTTAGTGATTCTGCACTGCTTATATGAGATGTATCTGTCACAGTCACACCACCCATTATGTCAGGAATGTAAACAGCGTTGCCATCATTATCAGTTTCAGTAGGATATAAAATTGGTGTTGACAAGAAACCATTGAACTCATTGTTATTTATAAATCTTTGGATACCATCAACAACACAAGAACCTGATCTCTTGGAGCAGACGTCTAAGAATCCATACTCCTGCTGATCTACTGTTACTGAAATCATACTGATGTTCACATCCAGCTCATTCTGTTCTGTCAAGATGGCTTCAGTTAAAACGTTATCTCCATTCATGAGACCCACCATTATATTCTCGCCATACACACCAAGAGTGGCCTGCTGATGTGAGTAGAAGTTTGAAGCACTCATGTCGGCAAATAATTTCAAAACCTTTTCTCTGTCTTTAGATGCTTGGCTGTTTTCTGGTGTGTATAAGTACTCAATGTTAGTTTCCTCTTCCTGGAAAATTAAACCAATTCCAAGTACCCCACTGGCTATAATGGCTATGCTCATGATTATCAAGGCATGTTTGGAGAGAAATGCACCATACTTTCCGAATAATCTACTCATGTATGACTCTAAGATATCATACACTGCCATGTTACTTCTGGAAGAAACAATAATACATTTTTGTACATGTATTAATGTATATGTGGCAATGGTGAAATTTGCTCGTAATCATTTGCCACCAAATAGAGTATTACTGTAGTATCCATACATAGCTAAGCTCATTAGCTGTAAGTAAATGATTCAGGCTGCCTCCTAGGTAGGACAGATATTGTCATGAGCACCATTAAGAATGACGAATTTTTTGCCTACAACCACAACCTTGGGTCACTTGGCGATAGGTGTGTGATATGAATGCACAACCAGAAATAATTCAGGACATTTTATTTTTGCAGCTCGCTACTATCTTTTAAAAAGTTCTGTAGTGACCCAATCTTCCCTGTGGAGTCGATTGATAGTAATTTAATGTTGATTAGGGGGATAATAACAATATTGGCTCAACTATCTAAACAAGGGTCAGTCAAATAACCGAATAATTGAACAAAATGCCATCAAATACACTTCTCAGTATTGGTTTCTTTGATGATAACAGGCATTGCTGGGCAACCAAGTTGACATATCTTCCATTTCCATTTATTGCAGTTCTGGTAAGGGGGCAATTTGTTGCCATTTCCTCCTTTCTCGCACTTCCTCTGTCAATGCCACATTAAGGGTGTTGTGGTCTTACTACTTAGATCTCATGCATCTAGTTCCTTCAACCTCACGACTCACATATAATCTTCATTTAGATTTTCTGCTTCAAATGTTCACATGAGTTTGTGGACTATTGTGCCCACTGGCATCATTTTCTTCTTGGGTTTGTCATAGTATTTTCTTTATCAACTTGGCTTCTGGACTTAGCTCTGTCTGACTTTTGGTCTTTTTAACTGGATTTCATCCGTGCAATTTAGTCTAAGCTTGGTGCTTGCTATCATACCCTCCCATTGAATTCACTGGCTGGTTCTTTTTTATCTGTTTTCAGTATGTTTAATTTATATTGGGGCTCACGATCTGGCATTGCTCCTGTTTATTTCTGCTTCACTTTCCTTACCTCAGTAATTCATCAGGTGTTTTTCAAAACTGATTTTTCTAGGTGTTGAAATTTCCAGCTTCTAATCTGGTTTTAACTTTTCGCTTTTTGTGAGTCACTCATATATTATTTTAGTTTCTTATTTTTGATGGTATGGATTTTCTAATCTCTTGTCATTCTTTGATGGTCTACTTATTGTGAAATCATCATGGTGTTCATGGTGTTGATTTCTTCTTAACTACTATTGACCTAATCATTCATTCAAATCGATGACCTGGTATGCAGGTATGCAGGTACCAGGTACATTATACTTGCAGTGACAGACTTTAGGTCAACTCATTTCTGAATACAATTGCTGAGTTTTCGTCCACTACAAGGGTTAGCCACTACCAAGTCTATATTAACATTCCCTAGGCCACCAGGTATTTATGGCACCCAGTTTGGACATGGGCTTGTTTTCTGCTTACTATAGTTGTCTTGGAATTGCACATATTCATACATAGCATGTTTTCCACGAGCTTGTATATGCCCCAACACAACTAGGTATAATGTTAAGTAATTCCATTGTCCTGACATATTTTAAGAGTGTAATATTCTGTAACCCTTGTCGACTTTCACTCTAGTCTTCCACATAGTTTCACAAGGCCAAATTACCTCCGGTTGTTAAATTTAGCCCAAGCATTACTCATACTCGTTTTGCATACCCTTAATGCGGTGCACCAATTATGTTATGATTTATTTATTAATGACACTTATATCCTCAATGTATAAAAGATTTATTAAGGAATTCACTATTGCGCCATATCGTCTAAACTTTTACCTGCATCTTGGAGAAACCAACTAATTATAATTCAATTTCGCTGTTGTCCATTCCCATTCATGGATGGATTGGGCACGTTGTTTCTGAAGTTTAATGTCGCTGTTACTGCTTTTATTGTTTGCATAGCAATTTGTTTTGCCCAGATTTCCACTCACACTCAATTTCACTGCAATATACCCAAATTGTTAAAATATTTGTAGATTTGTTTTTAGTCATGTGTTGTTTTGTGTATTTTTTCAAGATGACTGATGCTCCAAGATGAGCCAAATTGTGGCCAGAAAAAGTCAATAGCAATAGCTATTTCTAAATCAAAGCTTCTATATAGATGTTATTACCATGCTGTTACGATGCACCGCCACCGGCTGACTAAACCAGCACAGATTTTGCTTCTGTTGTGAGTTACATTATGCTTACGTGAGCAAGTTGGGGATTGTGACCATCTCTCAATGTGTCTGTAGCAAGATATTCTCCAGTGCGGAAATATCTAAGGCATACAGAACGCCGTTGATAGCTCCCTCTTTTGGCGATTTTGGTCCTATGCAGACAACTGAATACATTGAACTTGAATGTTATATTCAACACTTAAAGTACCTGTGAAATACCCCACCAACACATTTGGACAAACTTATGTATTTTAATACTTTAATACTTTTATAATACTACTAACGATATAAATTTTTCGGTCGGCGCTTTTTTGAAACGTATTTTGGCGGATGCAGTAATGGGTATAGTAATAGAGTATTTACGTGTTCCAAACGATCCGAAGGTGTGAAATCAGTGGACGAAGTAAAATCAATGAAAAAAAAAAAAAACGTTGGGATGGACATTCTTCCTATACCATCATATCGCAGATTAGCCAAACCAACTGTTCTCATTTATAAAAGAACAACATGCCGAAAAATTAAACCTTTCCCAATACTAACAATTTAAGGAACCAGATTCACTGATGACGTCATTTGACTGGCCTTCTAGAGGCGAAATGACACCAGGAAAAGCGGAAGTTTGTTCACCGCGTCGGCTTTCAGAAGAGAGAGAAACGTCGAGTGATTTACGGATCACCGAATCATCGACTTATTATATAATTTTTATTATTTCTCTATTCCATTGGTCGCTATAGTTCAATGTATAAAATGTTTAAACATTTTCTCTTTTTATTTTAATTTTTAATCTCTTTGTTTTACTCAGACGTTCGATAACATTCATCAGTGTATGAACATGCTCACTAACCTGACAATTAACTAGAAGACAAGCCAGACAACTTTTGACAAACTTGGAAAACCAGTTGCGCCGTAAGCGACATATTTCGTATCCCTACACGATAAGCTTGATATGTGTTATTTATGGTCCACTCTTCCTCGTGGAACATGAGTGGAAATCTAGTCAAAGACTAGAAAATTTCTTTAAAAAATGTGTCTGATATACAATATCGGCAATGCACGCTGACCAGCAAGTATGCAAGTTCACCTGCGTACGCTTAGGAGGAGCCTCGTTTTAAAATACACAAAAATAAAAATGGCGTAGATTGAGTTTGAAACCCAATTTTATTTTAATAACATGAAAAATAATAATATTGATGTACCAATACATGATTTTGGACTAGAAAAAAGCAGACATTTCACAGGCATTTTAAAAGAAAGAAACACGTTGAAAATATTGTACAGGACGTTCAACACACAATGAAATATACATTACACTGTACAAAATGTCGGGGACACAGTGCACGTTCAGATAACCGAACAATTCGGATATTTGACATTCGGATACGTGACGTTTTACGTATAGGTTAGATCACGGTGACGTCCGAGGTGACTATGAGAATTTGAACGAGGGCCGTATGCCCGAGTTCTAATTCTCATAGTCACCGAGTGGCGTGATCTAACCGACTTAGCACTGGCCAATTAGCCCGAGAAAAGATTCGTATTAGCCAATCAAATGATGACATTTTGACAGCAATCAAGCTTGTATTTTCTTGCGTTTTTTTCAGTCGTGATCTAAGTGAATTCGTAGTGAAATAGAACCACACTTTATCGCGAGCATGCCTCCAGACCCCCTAGTAAGGTCGCGCCTTTGTCGCGAGGTTGGTGAGCAGATCTCGCACCCATGCAGAATTTCGCGCCGCCGCCTCGAGCTCTGAATAAACGTAACTCACCTTTACGCTGTTCGCAAATCCGACCTTGCCCACTCCACTTTGAGTTCAGACTCACAAGAGCGTGTGTTTGACGTAAAAATTATTAATTCAAAATATTTATTGCTTTATATATTATGCTGATTTATAGGAGTTTCAATTTATTATTAGCTGGCAAAATAAACGACCGACCGAATTGTACGATGTAGTTTGTATCCTTCCCCCATTTTTTTTTATCTTTCGTGTTACAGTTACGTGCAACAAATAATTAAACTGGTAATGGTAACATGAAGCTACAACGTATCGAGTGTGAATAACGATTTAGACTAGCACTGAACGCGCGTCTTGTGCGTGTCAATCCAGTAAAAGCGTCAATTCAAAAACAAAATAATAAATTTAGGCACACATTCAAGCAGATTAGAATGATATATTTTTAAGATTTTTACCCGAAGTTTTGCGCAAAGATCAAAGTTTCGGTCGTTGTCGTGGCAACTGTAGGAACAATATTTGTCTACCTGCAGGTGTGACCTGGCTGTCAAGTAAGACTAATATTGCCGTCCAATAAATCACAGAAAAGAAAAAAAAATCGTTCCTGGCGAATTTTTTTTTTTCGAAATTCCAGTCAAATTTGTCGGCAATGAAACATAATCTTAAAAAAAAAACAATACTAACATTAGGCCCACACTCAAGCTGAGTTGAATGAGATATGTCAGGAGATTTTTACTTCAAAAATTGGAGGTGGAGAAGATACATTTTGTGCGAAGGTGTTCAAAAATTCAATGTTTGGCTGCTGCCATGGCAACAGTGGACCAGGAATGTTTCAACAGGTTTTTCCACCTAACTACAAAAAAATACACGACCCTTTGCGCATATGGGGCACAAGGGATGGAGAACAGACGCCGCCTCTGTATAACTAATCGAGTCCCGTATACGCACTGCTATTACAATACTGGTAGGAGGTGATACATTTTGCGAAAGTATTAAAAGTATTAGTAGGCCAGGATTTTTTTTCTGATTAGTGGCGGAATGACCTGCCTCCGAGTATGAACAAAATCGGCCAAGCCAGAAAAATCACAAAA